TTTCTTGCCAAATTTGAGAAGTATTCAGCCATTATTGCATCAATTACCTTTTCAGTCTGGTACTCTGTCCTTTCCTTCTGGGACCCTGATGACACAAATGTTAGATCTTTTGGTATAGTCCCATAGGTTCCTGAGGCTCTAGAGGGGTTTTTATGGGTTTTTTTGTTTTTCAGTCTATTCTCTCTTGTTCAAATTGGGTAATTTCTATTCTAGCTTCCAGTTCAGTGATCTTTTTCCTGTCCCTTCTCTGCTGCTGGTCCCATTCACTGAGATATTTATTTCAGTTATTGCATTTTTCTGATCTAAAATTTCCATTTGAGTCTTCTCTCCACCTTGCTGAGGCTTTCTATTTTCTCATTTGTTTCAAGCTTGTGTGTTGTAATTACTCATTGAAACATTTTTATCATTGCTATTCTTAACTCTTTGTCAGATAATTCTAACATCTCTTTTATCTTGGTGTTGGCAACTATTGATAGTTTTTTTTCATTCACCTTGAGATTTCACAGTTCTTGGTAAGTTGAGTGATTTTCAACTGAAATTAGGCATTGTTATGGGACTCTGGATCTTATTTAAACCTCTGCTTTGTTTTTTTGTTTTTTACACCACCCCAGCTGGGGAAGGTGACAGAAGACCAGGTTCCCCACTTAGTCCCCATTAACACCCAAGGGTGGGAGTGCTCCTCATTACCGCTGAGCAAGAGTGGGAGTTTCAGCTTCCCACATGGTGTCCACTGACACTGCAGTGGGTGTGACCATGATTGCTGGGTGGGAAAGTCCAGACCCCCCTTGGGGTCCCTCTTATACCACAGGGGTAGGGGAGCTCATTATCAGCCAAAGGGACAAAAGTTCCAACTCCCTAACTGACCTATACCACCCTGGCATGGGTGTTGGGACTCCTGGTTACAGATTTGAGCTGTATAGACTAGGCTCCCCACTCAGCTTTGCTGGCATGGATGGGAGTGGGGCCACATTTTTTCTGTATTATTTGGATGGAGTAGGGCAGTTATTGTCTAAAAGTGTTCTGTTTGCTAGCGAAAGCAGCCTTTTGTTGGGGCTTTTTTTTTTTTTGGTCTGCACTCACTGGGGTTGCCAGCTTCTTTAGCTCCAAGTCTGTGATGTATAAGGTAAAAAAAACTCACTACCACATCACTCCTTAAGTCCTGAGGTCCTTAACTGGTCTGCTTTCTTTTCTCCATCTCTCTAAGTCTTATTTATTTACTTTTAATATATTCTGTCCAGTTGTACTTAGAGGGAAGAATAGAGAAAAATATATATACTCCCTTTTCCCAGGAGTGAAGTTCTGCCTAGGGCATACCTGACCATGTAACTCACTGGTTAAAACCCTTCAGTGGCTTCCAATCACTGAGGATAAAGACCAAAACACTTTGCATGGCTCCACTGAACAGTCATGCATGACTTGGCCCCTACCAGTGGCAAATGTTTAACAACCAACTCTGGTGTACATACTACTATTATGGCCAATTTCAAGCTACCAACATGACGCTGCTAAATATGGAAGAGATGCTAACAACCGACTCTTGCACATCATTGCAGACTCACTTCTATCACCCTTTCTCTTTTCCCTCCAGGTATTCCAAGCTTCTTTATCAGTACACTAAACATTCTACAGCTCCCAGCCCCTTCTACACAGCTGGCTCTACCCGGAATGCCACCTTCTTCCACATCTCTCAGTGTGTGTGAGTGCTGGAGCCAGCTTGCATCACCTTACAAGAGCAACTGTTAAACTTTCAGGAATTTTGAAATCTGGCTACTAAATCAGGGTTTCTTTTCTTTTCTTTTTTCTTTTCTTTTCTCTTCTTTTCTCTTTTTCTTTATCCTCACCCAAGAACATTTTTTCCATTGCTTTTCAGAGAGAGTGGAAGGGAGGGAGAGAGAAACATCAATGTGAGAGAGACATATCAATTGGTTGCCTCCCACACACTCCCCGATTGGGGCTGGGGATCGAGCCTGCAACTGAGATACATGCCCTTGTTCGGAATCGAACCCAGGATCCTTCAATCCGCGAGCCGACACTCTAACCACTGAATCAAACTGGCTAGGGCAGGGCTTTTTCTTTTTTAAGAGCTTGTTTTTAAAAATTTACCAGCATACTCCTGCATCCACTCCTCTTTGTCTGGCTCATCCTTCAGTCTCAAACCATTTCCTCTAAGAGGACATCCTCCTACCCTCTGGACTTACTTTCTACTTCAAAGCACCCTGCACTTCCTTTTCCTAAAGTTCAGTGGAATTGTCATTAATTTACTTGCCTCTCTGCCTCTACATCCTAAGTTGAATGATGAAAGGGGCCCTTTGCAAGTACTTAATATATCAGAAGTCTTTTTATCTAGACCAGCATAGTGTAGTTGACACACAGCAGGTTCTGGAGATATTTTAGAAATAATTGTTGAATGGCTGGATGACCGAAAGGAATAGAACTAAAGTGAAATTACAATCTATCACATTGTAACCTGAGTGAAATCATGAAGGAGGATGAGAATTTGTATGAAACCTACATTTTCTTAGATTTATGCAGCAGATTCTAGTACAGAATGCCA